TCAAACATGATGACCACGTCAAAAAGACTTCTACTTGACATACACTTTACTCTGGACGCATTTTCAAGTTTCCCGCGTGCGGTAACTTTTTCCGACATTTGCAACCAGGTTTGCACCAAGTGAGATGTTTAGGTAAACCTAGTTTAGATATTATAAGAAAATCCAAAGACAAGTATCATTGGATTTTCAACAATGGAAAATACATCCCATCGAGATTGGATGTATTTCTACCAAACGGAACTATGTGAATTATAGCGTGAGCCCTGTTATGTATGTATTCTTATGGGTCTCAGGGCTCATGTCTTAATGCACATAGTTCCGTTTCGCAGAAATACGTCCGATTGATCTCCCTTTTCGAAATAATGGATTCAAGTCGTCGTTTCCCCGAAGAAGGAATGTAACTCTATCGCAAGGTTGCAAAATTGATAAAAAAAAAATTCAATTTCAAACAAGAATAAACCTGTGCTATTTTTTCCCCAAAATTATTTCTCATTTTTGCATGAGATGAAAAAAAAACCATCAATGAAATTTTCAGTTAGAAATGCCTTGGATTCTCCTGGTGAAATATTAATTTCTGAGAGGAATTTTGGGAGCATTGAAATGTGGTTACGTTCTTTCGTTCGGGAAACGACGCAATTTTGCAGTTTCATCGCCGCACAGTGGGTCGAATCAATCTGAGAAATCGGACATGAAATTTTTGACTAAAACTGAAAATTTTGATGTTACATTTGTCACATTTTAAANAACACCTGAAAAAATGGGTGAAAATCGGGGACTTTGCCCCCCCACAACTCGAAAACGGTGCGTATACTCAATCTGAAATTTTAGTATGTGTAAAGGGTCACCCTAAGGATGAAAACAAACCTCACTTCGACCCCAATTTCGAGGGCCCAAAAATGGGCCGTTTTTTGCCCTTTTTGTGCATGGCTCTTTGAAGGGATGCATCTAGAAGAAAATTTCACGAGAAAACCATTGGAACCATTTTTAAAATCTCAATTTTTGTTACTTAACGGAGTAATGAGCTTTTACAGTTTCCAATTTTTTTCCGACCTCTCGTATTGACGCGATCCAGTGTGCGTCGTCACGCTCAGGGAATGAGAGTTTGTCAGATCAGCTAGAAAAGAAGTAGGGAGTGTGAGAATGGCTCCTGACGGCACAGTCTGCCAATTGGACGTGTATTTGTGCAAGAAGGATCTATGTACAAATAAACAGAGTTAAAAGGAGCTATTTGCATAGGATTTGCGCGTTTCACGACTCCTTCGGATTGAATCCATCCGCACATAGTGCCTTTCAGCGTAAGTACGACCAATTAATTAACGTCAGTTGGAAATCCCTCAGACGAGTCACTCCCAAAAAAGATCCGGCAGGAGCCCTCATTAATGTTGACTGGCGAGCCGAGGGCTCGAGGTCTAACGCAAATTTGATTATTCAAGCTTCTCTTGCAATTATTATTGCTGTAGCAGGGGCCCAAAAGCCCCCGCTTCAAGCTGAGCCATTCGAGGGAAACGTGAATTTTTCATGCGCATGAACCTCGCGGCGAGACAGTAAGACCTGCATTGGATTTTGAGAAACGGCGTATCTGCTTCTGTTCGACGACGCATCTGCTTCGCCGTAGTCGACTACTGCAGTCGTAACTCCACGGGTTTTTAGGCTCGAGATTACATCTATCGGATTCGAGACGGGCACAAAAAAGGAGGAGAATACAATGGAGAATGGGAGGAGGAAGGGGGAGAACAAAGGGAGAAAGGATGCAAAGAGAAAGAATAAAATAGAAAGCTGGGAAGAAAAGGGATTCTCCTACTTCTTCTTCTTCTTCTTCTTCTCCTCCTCCTCCTCCTCCTCCTCCTCCTCCTCCTCCTCCTCCTNCTGCTACTTTATTATTTCCCGATTTCGAATGCGTCAGCTGAAATAATGACGGTGAAACTGCAAAAATGCGTATCTCGGTTGTGGTGTCTGGAAATCTCCGCTGCTACTACTTTATTTTTTTAAAAGGAGACCAAACTAACATCATGGCTTGAAGTTTTCACAGAATATTCTTTATTAAGAGAAGGCAATCTCTGGAAAGTTCCAAAAAGAATATGACGTTGAGTGGTTTACTACGTAGAAAATAAAGTATGACAAGAAGTCAACAACGCCGCAAGGGGGCCGGCCGTTCATGTATTTCGTAACGCAGTTTTTCCGATTTTTGACCCCCCCCCCTCCCCTTTACCCTTGTAGTGCACCCGTAACGCAGCCTTAAATCCCTCTTTTAAGGTAATTCTATGTGATCTAGGGACGAGATTCACCTCTACGTAGCGCTGCTATGCGGTTTGCGTCTTTGAGAAGCAATAATTATCGTTACATACAAGTTAACGCGAGAAACTGATCCATAACGTGTAGCAGCATTAATACTAAGTAGAATGACATCAAATTTGTTAAGATTCATTGTAAATTTATACCCGAGACTAAGATAACGGACGTCGTCCACTGACTCAATGTTTTGGTTTGACGTTATGTTCTATTGTTTTGAACCAAACGATACATTGAGCCACTATTGAATGCGATCCATGACCTCATTGTCAATTAAGCCTCCGCAGTTCGAGACACTAGGGGCCGATGTCATCTCCCCCCCCCCCCCCCCCCTGTTGACAAAAGTTGTAAAAAAAACTCGTAAATTTTAAGAGAACTTAAAATTTACTTCAAAACCACTTGAAAATAACGTAAAAAAACTCTTGAGATATTCGGAGCTTTTTTTACATAAAATTTAAGAAAAAGTTTAAGTAACTTTTTTTACGTAAATTTTAAAAAAAATGTATGTATTTTTTTATAAACTTTCTGCGGACAAAAACGAGAAAAAAAGAGTGGTGAACAGAAAAGTATAAAAGGGAAAGTTGCAGCCCATAAAAATTGACGATATAGTTTGTTGATTTTTACGTAGTTTTTATGTTTTCAACACTATTTTTTTTAAAAGAATTCCCCAAAAGGATTTCCTAAAACGAGTATTTTAAGAATTTTATTATACTTAAAATTTACAAACTCTTAAAATTTACAAGTTTTTACATTTTTTGGACAACTTTTTGTAGAATTTATTAAGAGCCATTGCGACTAGGGGTGTCTAAACCGCGCTAACCCAGGCACTGGTATATTTTAGAAATCCTAAGACCCGAGTTTGTCAAACCGGTGTCAAAGGGTCAAGGTTTGGTTGTAACGTTGGAAGATGGAAATTTACATGATATTTAATTGAGTTGACACCATGATGACCGCTACACCAATATCCATTTTAATGTGAAGGCGTCAGCATGATTCTCTCTCAGGCCCCGTGCTCCGCAACAGATAATTCCATTTTCTTGCGGAGGGAAGTTTCATTTGAAGAGAAATTGCTGATGGAATTCGAGCGTTTGGAGACCCTTGAATATTGGTGTCTGTCGGCGTGAAAGAATATCACACGCTTGGAAGTAAGTAAATCATCGCGTTTGACAGCGAATCTGATGGGGTAAGATTGGCCGGGTGGCGCACAGTGGTTCGAGCCAATTAGAGAGGCCTGGGGGGCCTAGGGAGGAGAGGGGGGCCTGCCCCCCCCAGAAATCTCGTGGCCCCCCAGAAAAACGGGATCCTACATTCCTCACCCCCC